GACGGCTGTCAAGCTGCACGCGTGCTTCGAGGAATTCAAGCCAGATATTAAGGCTTAAACTAGATGATAGAAAAAAAGCAGTTGAAGTCTGGCTAAATGTGATTGATTTGTGAGCGCAGTGATTAAGTTAACTAACTATTTGAATACACACATTTTGTCAGAGAAAGTTTTCTGTTTGATTTACTAATTTAAAACTGACTGTCAACCGTTTTGCTCTTGCGATCCCGGCGGCCACTGACAAACGAGGCAATCGAACCCACACAGACGCTTACGCGCTCTTCGCTTGTGTTATGTGCTTCGGGTTTTTGGTTGAGCCGAGACACGATCGTGTGCTTGTAGTTTTGTTTGTGCTTATAATTATGATTAATTTGTTTGCATTTAAATGTTTTATATTTTTGCAACCAATCCTCAATGTTACTATTGAACATGCATATTATTGCAAAAGACACTTTTGTTGTTCGCTCGCGACGAAGTGCAGTTACAAAAGAGAAGTGCACCAAATGGGTCTTTGCTTAAGCGAAGAGCGAAGAGCGAAAAGGGCAAAGAGAGTAAACAAGTGACAGTTATTTGCGTGGGGGAGGGAAGTGCACGCATAGAAATTCCTTTGCTGCTCTCTTTATGCCTTGACTCCCTTCACCATGCACTTCTCAAAGGTGTACACGAAGTCGCAGGTGGTGGCCGCTTTGGTGGCGCCACAGCTGGCCAGCAGAGACTTCAACTTGTCAACGGGTACACTGCTGAAGCGTTGCTGTGCAAACTTCACGATCATATCATTGATGGGCTTCGAGTCGGCGGTGAGCAGGCCCAACTTTTTGTACAGGCAGCTGTGGTAGCACTTGACGGCCTCCGAAGGATTGGCCACCTCTTTGTCCGTGGCCAGCAGCGCAGCCTCGGCAGCTCCAATGTTCAGCTCCTTGATGCATGAATCCTGCTTCTGCTTATAGGCAGCCAAATCTGCGGCGCTCTGGGACTGTTAAAATACGGTTTCAGGTGGAAGCCTGTTCCAGGATAATTTGAATTTAATACTCACTGCCACAGGCTCATAAAGGGCAAGTCCCAGGCACAGTACTACTGCCAAAATATTCACGTTCATCTCGTTGAAATTTTCCCTGCTGTCTAACAAAATGTTGTTCACCCAAAGCGGCTTAAATAGACAGGTGACAGTGGCATTTTTACCACTTAATTGAACCAATTTAGTTGTTAACACACGATTATGCAATTTAAAAGAATATTTATACAATGTTTTCCTTTCTTGGCAATTTAATGCTCGGGGGGAGTAATCACCCGCCGCTTGAATTAATCTCTCGGGTCAGTGGACATAATTTTCACTTTATTTATTTTCAAATTGTTCCAGCCTAAATTCTTGATTATTATTTGTTTACTGTTTGTGTGCGCTAGTTTGTTTTTAATATATTAAAATGTTGTTTGCTCGCAGACTTGCATCCTTTATTGATTAGCCTGCAGGTAACATAATCATTAAACAGCAATCATATCCCTACCCCGCCAGCCACACTGGCTGTGGCTCACCTTTTACACTACTTAACATCGTTTTTTAGCTTTTTATATTGATCGATTTTAATGAGCAATACGTTAAGCGATCTTTACATTTCGAATCAAATTCCCAAAAAAAAAAGACATTTTCCATTTAAGAACTTCATATTTTCCTAGTTTTCAAGTTTCATATTTGGCCATCAATGCAGTGAATATAAAATGAACATAAAATTTACAAAAATTCGAGATAGTTCAAGATATAATGATATTCTAGATACACAGCCCAAATTCTGGCCCATTCTACATGCATTTTATAAATATTCTACACCAAAATAAAGTCTAGCCAAACCCCCAAAAATATACTTCAATTGTCTATAAATAAATTCACTGAAAATTTTCAGCCCAAAGTTTTTTATGTACCATCAGCATGTAGATAGTGTATGTAGATAGTAACTACATAACTGTAACTTTCCATACATACACATGTATTTCCCAAATGAACTTAAAAATCTTCAAGTGACAAATTCGAAGCGAATCTATTTTTCGCACAAGCACAAATATTAAAGGATTATTACAGGTAAAATATGTAGGAATACTTGTATTATTGTTTCGGAATTATTTATTCCTCCTTCGAGTGGACTTCATTGGAGTGCTGAGTGCCATCGATGATATCGCCGTCGGGTTCCTTCTCGCTGTCTAGGCCCTCATTACCCTCAGCCATTTCGCTGCGCTCGATAATGTCCCTGATCCGCTGCTCCGTCTCCATGGTCTTGAGATGATTGTAGCAGAGATGCAGCTTGTAGGCCGCCTCGCAGCGTGTGCGTCCCTGCAGGTCGCCGCACTCCTTCACCGCTGGCTTCTCCTTCTGCAGCATGTTCTGCACCTGTTGCCGAAAAGCCTGTTCCAGCAGGATATTGTAGCGGTGCACGTCCAGGCTCTCATACAAGCAGCTCACGAAGCATTGCAGCGGCTCGTTGCCCTTGAGGTCGAGGTATGGCATCTGTGAGCTGATGCCATAGTCCCCGTCGGGCAGGTTGTTCTCTCCCGGTGCAATGGGCGCCGCCACATCGTTATCGCTGGTGTAATCGTTGTTCAGGAGGCTCATGTGGAAGAGCTTCAACTGGGACATAGATATCTCTGTGCGTCGTATGCACGACTGCATCATGTCCTCGCTGAGCGATCCCTTCGCTGCATTCTGCTCCTCCTCGTCTACGGATCGCGTCATGGACATGTTCAGCGAGACGGTCAGCGTTCGGCTCTGTAAAGTGTAGGTAAAATGAGTCCGGTTCTCTGGTTGTTCTCTCTCGAATTACCCATGTCAGTGGCAGCAGCTCGCTAAGGCCCAGGCACAGCAGGAACAGAATTTGGTCACGAAAAAGCATTGAATTGGACTGGACCCACTGGAAATTCACTCTGCCGATCGAGTCGACTGCTTTTATAGGGATCATCTGCCGGTAATTGCAACATTTTAATTGCAATTTAATCGGCGGCGATCGAAGCGATCGGGAAACCATTTTAAACGCCTCACTGGCCGATCGGGAAGATCTTTAATGGAAGGCAGTAATTATACGTTTTGCAGATCCAAAACCAAATCGGGCCATGCCTCAGCGCGCAGCCATTTGCATGTGAGAACTCCCATTAGGCATTGGCCCGAAAACATATTTGCTTAACCCCGCGTAATGGACTCTGTAATCGATGTGTCTAATGGCAGGCGAACAAACCGAACCACTATGTTTAAAAAAGTTCAAGCTCAATTTGCCAGATGAATCAACCAGCCCCCCATCCATAAAAGTATTCGGAAAATCCGACAGAAAAGCTGCTAAAATGTACATTCTATAATATATTCTATATTCTACACTGTTTTTGCCATTTTAATTGTCAGTCATTTTATACTCTATATAATAACTGGAGAGTGTGGAGAATTTTTCCTGATGATTGCTGCCCTTACCCTTACCTGACAATGCCCCTGCACGGCGTCTTCAAAGACCGCATCTAATTGATGAACTTAATAATAGACTGGTGCTGATAATCAGAAGTTAGAACAGCACGACATTACCCCTGGAAACACTGAAACATATTGGACTTTAAGATCAAAGGAGAAGAAGATAAACAGAGCCAATACTCGCGCTTGTATGTGGCGTAGTTTTTATTATAAAATTAAATTACATTAATGCGAGAACCGCAGGGCTAAGAGCTCCACCCACAGCAACCCCATTGAAGCGAATCATTTCTTTGCTCTTCCATTGAAAGCAAAGTGGCAGGAACAGGACGAGGCAGAGACAGGCCAAGGCAAGAGGAGAGACTGTCTGTCGCTCAAGACAAAGGCCAAGTCAAGCCATCAATGTGTTTGTCCCTTTGGCAGCGTCCACGGATCACGGACCACAGGAGCAGAACCCCACCCCACACCAGACCACACCACAACGCAGAGCAGAGCAGAGCAAAGACTGTGGACCCCGGGACCAGCAACCACGAAGGATATCACGCATGTTGGTTTCTTTGAAAAGCCGCCGGGACGGAGACAAGGAAAGGGACTGAGACAGCGACAGGAACATCGACGGCGACAGGGACAGCGAGCTGTCTACTTAAATGCATTAGCCAGCAGAGTGGCAGGAGATTGTTAGATGGTGGGTGGGTGGATACTGCTGGCTGCTGCCTTTTTAATAGACATTAGTAAACGCATCACTGATTATGCCCAAGCTCTTGTGCGGACAACTGCAACTGAAACGGATGCTAAATGGAAGTGACATGACAGCCAGTCCAGTCCATCCCTGATATCCCCAGCCAGCCCATTCCAGCTGTCGTTCGTTCCAGGCCAGACGTGGAGCAGGAAGTGACAAAATGAATTATAGACACCAAGTCCAGCCAGTACGGCGTCAGTTCAACCCACGGGCTAATGGAACACTGCTCCAAATTCCCCAAAGCAATTGTCCCTAACGTGCGTATCACCTGACCTGAGCCCAGACCCAGACCCAGACCCAATCCAACCCAAAACCGAACAGAACCCGAGAGCTTAACTGGTGACTGCAATTGCGACACGTGTTCAATGAATGTTTAATGATTTGTTAATTGGATTTGGGCCTTTAAAAAGTCGTGCCACCCATCCCCCTGCTTCTGCTCCTGAGTCCGAATATTATGCCGCCCTCATCCCGCGTCGTCTTCAAGGTCTTTTGTGGCGTAAAGTTTACCGGAGAGCGGCGCCGCTCATCAATATTTATGCAATACGCTCGCTCGTACATGTGCGTGCAAATGCCTTGGGGATCTGGGCAGCCCCGTCCCAAGGACTTAAGCCCCCTGACGACGGTCTGACAGTGGGCTCTAATGATGGCCCAGTGTTATGCAAATGTCTCAGAATCATACGCGTACAGTGGGAGCATCAAATATGCATAAGTAATTATATGTATATAGACATTTAGATTTTTAATTTTCTTTGAGATGGGGGAGGGAGGCCTGCTGTCTGGTCTAAGGTGATGCCAAAGTTTCAATCAAGTTCAAAGTTTCATCGCTTAACCTTTCGCCATTATACATTTACTTTTTGGACTTGGACAAACAAGTGCTAAACAAAATCCTTTTGCACATAATACTATACATTTGAGGGCACTGAGATGGACCTAGATCTGGGAGTGATGCTTTTGATAGCACTGGTACAGCTGGTAGGCGGTGTCACAGTTGTCCGCGCCCTTGAGCGAATCGCACTTGGCCTGCACCGTCTTCACGTTGTCCTCGCCGGCAATGGGACCCAGCTTGGCCAGCACCACATCGGGCTTGATCTGGCCATCGACGAGGAAGCCAGTCTTCTCCAGGAAGCAGTTGGCGAAACACTTGACCTTGGGATCGGTGTCCTCGAAGTTGCCGGAGCGCAGTGCCATGGCTTGGTCCTTGGTGATGCCCTCCTGCTGGAGGCACAGAGCGCCATTGGCATGGGCCGTGGCCTTCTGCTCATCGGAGAGCTGCAGCTCCTGCAAGGGGAAGGGCATTAAGGATGAGTTCAAGCTGCGATTTCGGTAGTGTGCGGATACTCACAGCAACGGCGAGAGCCACCAGGGCGAAGAGGACAATCAGGAACTTCATATTTTGGTCGAGAGATGCTGTTGGAAAACTTTTGGTATTGCAACTGTTGGCCGCAAAACACCGGCCACTAGCTTTTATATGATTTTTGCATGCCGGCTCGTCTGATTTGTGCTTTTATTACTGCTTTTTGTGCTCGCTCTACTCCGGTGACCACATTGTACCCGCGCCCGTTGTATATCTCTTATGTGTCTGTTAGTTTATTTTAATCGTGGCTTAATGATTCTCTCCCTCGATTTGTTCGCTTTGTTTTAGGTCCCCAGCGTCTGGTCCCACGGATCCCGCTGATCGCTGGTTTATTTGCATTGAGTCATCTCTGTGCAAGTCTGGCTTAAAGTCCACGCGATACACGAGGTGTATCCCGCTGTCCTCTTCCCGCTGCCCAAAACTCGCTTCCAGTGCAGTCAAGTAGATTGTTCCGATTGCCATTGTACTGCTAATTGGCTTTAATGATCGACACTCGTGCTCATTATAGGGTTGGGGTATAATTCAGTTTGCATAATGTAAGTGCTAATAGTGATTTCAGATTTGGCTACCAATTAAATAAATCGACTTTTTTCGGCGAGCCAGGGCTCAGCGAAGCGTCAACACCAATTTGTTTTTGTAATACATAAAAAATAAACCTTCAACTTGAATAACATTTCGCAGCGCTTGTAAGTTTTATCTTGGTGCAGAATATTACATAGTATGTGTGTATGCATAGGAAACGATCTTGGGCAGCGCAGTCGACGCATGCATAGCGCAAAAACTTTTGCTTCGGCCCACGATAAACCCACCACTTCTGCATCGTGGCTTCATCCTATGCACAGAGAACGAATGCAGCGAAAGAGAAAGAACTTCTTCGTCTTCTGCTCATCTGCGCGCTAAGGCAGAGAAGCAAGAAACGGTTTTGACTTCGCTGCTGTTGTCTGTGCATATGTACATACAAACGCTGATCAGTATTTTGGAGGCAGAGAAGTACAGCAAAAGCTCGCTTTGCTCTTCTGTCATTAAATCAAGGTGAGAGAACAGTCGCGCTGCTGATGGAACAAAATAAAACAAATTTATAACTGTAATAGTTACGTTATGTTATCCAAATACATACTTGACTAGGCTGGGCCTGGCATCGCACATAAATTGAAGTTGTTTGTAACTCTAATTATATTAATTTAGAAATAATTCTTTAATTGCAAATATTACATTACAACTTTGCTCATGCTCCAATGACTTGCACTCGAAGTGTGTTTTCCCAGAATATCTGCACTTAAGCTGTGAGAGTTCTATAAATGTTTGTCGTGTGGCTCTATCATACCGGTTTCCATATAGTCTTGCATGAGTGTCTGCTTCTCTCTTTCATCTCAGCTTTGCTGTTGACGTAGCCAAAAATCAGTGCCAAAGTCCAACAGGGTTTCGAGTCTCAAGTCCAAACATTGAACTGGTTTTGCTTGGGCACTTTTGTATACAAATGAAGAAGCAGCCTGATTAGTTATTAAAGTGATAGTCGGATAGTCGGACTAGCTAATATGATATTTACATGCATAATAGGTAAATATACATATAATGAATTATAAGTAATAGTCAGAGCAAAACTCTGCCCTAAACGGTTTGGTTAAAGTTTGTCGAAACTTTTGCTGGAAGCTTACGTGCAACGCAGAACTTTGGATCGTTTATATCAGCAATATTTACTGCTGACAGCATCGATAATTCATGACCTACTCAAACTCTGCGAGTGTACCCGTGTCATGGCTGGGTGGGCGGGGGCAGCAAGTTTGGAGACAAAACTCGTAAATAGTTACGCACGCCAGGCGAAACAAAATGACAGACCAGACCAGACCAGACCCTACCCGACCGATTATTGGGGACCCATCGTCGCCTGCCATGGCAAAAATAAAATATTTAAATAGTAATAAATTCATAATGTCAACGTGTTTGTTGTTGCGACTGCGAGTGCGACTCCTCCATGGATTTATTGACAATACTAACAGCAAACACGAAACGAGTCTATTCCTCAAGTAGTTTGATTTTGTGTATGGGAATAAAACTGTTTTATCGCAGACATGATAGAGCTGGAAGGATGGCACACAGGTAGGAGTCGCATCGCATGCGGCTCATATATAATATAAATATTAAATACTATATGGCATGCCATAAAAATATAAACAGCACATAAAACGACAATGAAAAAACAAAAGTGAAAAAAAAACAATGGCACACGTTATTATGTGTCCCGAACAAAGGGAAACTCTGGCAGGCTAATGAAATGTCATCGGCCCCCGGGGGCCACGAATGTCACGCGAAAAACTATTTGACGACAACATTACGTTGACATTATAATAATACCCGAGGAGCGTTGAAGGAGCTCCCCGACCGACCCCAACCCGATCCTTTCCCATCCACGACCCGACGACCTGAAGCTAAAAGCGCTGTCCCCCCAGTCATATGCAAATTTTTACGAGCTTCTCAGGGCCAGTCATAAAAGTCAACTTATTAACTATGCACAATTCAAAAGAAAAAACAATTAAATAAAACAAAAAAGCGTGAATTTGATTATGGGCAATGTTTTGGGAATTGTTAAGCAAAGAAAGTAACCAAGAAGAAAGGATCTAACTGATCGGCATACATATCAGAATTGATTTGATTATATCTACCAGCAATTTCAGATAACTATTTGCTGTTAAAAATCAATAATTTAAGGATAGCACATGCGTCCTGCCGCACTTTTGGCAACAATTTCGTAATTAATTATATTCAAAATCTACGGTAGGTAGTCGAGCCTCTCACCCTGTGGCCATTCGGCAAGCCCAGCATAAAGCTACAGAAATTCAATTAGGCTTATCCCCCCTCATGCAATAACAACAAACAGCAACCGACACCCACAAAAAAAAACAGCAGCACAGCAGCAGCAAAAACAGCTGCAACACCTGCGCAATTAATTAGTGTTTGCGGCATTAATTTCACACAAAAAAATGTATAAAATAAAAGATGAGAAAGGCAAGCAAAAAGCCAAGCCACAGATGGGATAGGAAAGGATTGGGATTGGGATTGGGATTGGTTGGGACAGCAATGAATGAGGAAGGGTCCAGTGTGCTTGACCGAAATAGCCCCGAAAAACAGTAAGCCAGCAAAAATAAAATCAAATATAGCGGATTTAGTTAATTTATATTATAATTAAAGCAAGCTCCTTCATCAGCAAGCAAAACATAGAGTGAAAGCGATGAAAACTTGTTGAAGTAAAGGAAAATTATGTTTGTTTTTTTTTTGCGGGCAAATGAAAGGATAACTAAAATCTGTTTGCTCCACTCAAACTGCCAGTTGAGGAGATGCCTTGGCTACGCGTAGATATCATAATTTCCACTTCAACTCTATATAATTTGTTTATGATTATGGCCCGCATGCAAAATAAAACGCATTTAAGTAATTAAGCCATAAAAAGAATGGCGTGCTCTGGCTCCTGGCTCTGTTCATCCATAAAACCCATTCCATGCTGCAATAAAATGCCAAAAACAAAACAATTAGGCAATTAAATGTCTTTGGTATTACCAAAAATTTTCGTTTTGGTAACAAAACGCGTCGTAAAATAAACCCAAAATGTACTCCACCCTCTGAGAAATGAATGGCACTCTGTATGGGGGGCCAGGGGTGACACTAAAAATGGATCACAAAGGGCAGAAATTATGTGAAAATGTTTGCCCTTGCCGCGGCATCTGCTACTTCCATATAAAAAGCACAAAAGGAAAATAAAGAAAAGGCCGCAGGCGCTATGCGAGTGTTTTAGTAATATTTATTGAATTCCAGTTAACGAAGCCAAGCCGGAACCGATGAACCGATGGAGGGTACAGCCAGGAGCAGAATAAGAGTCTGAAACGAAGTTCGCCCCCCCCCCCCCCCCCCCCCCCCCCCCAAGTTAGAGGGCAAGCAAGCAAAGCTCACAAAGCATTTCCACGCACATTTTCTCCCCCAACGCTACAACAGCAGGGGAAAATTCCAAACGCTGCAAAATGAATTCTTTTGTGACAAGTTCAATTCGGTGTCCCACTACCAGCGCCAGTGCCAGTGCCAGTGCCAGTTTCAGCCAGCCTCAGTCCCTGTCCTTTTCGCACTCCCTTCCCCAACTTCAATCCCATCAAAGATCCAGTGGAGTCCGAATGGGAGTTCATATGGGAGCAGATTGTGGGCGCTGTCATATAACGCATCAAAGACAGTCAGGTGAAGGAATGCAGTCCTTCGCTCTGTAAGAAATTGAAAATCCCAACAGCATGGAGCAAGCTCAAGGAGCTCCCCTGCCTCGCTGCTGGGGACAAAACTGAAAATCTCAAGCTGCGAAAATCAGCAGAAAATGCGCTGCTTTAGTTCACATTATTGTCATGGCCCGTGTGGATATTTTTCCTGTGGCGCTCGGAATTTTTAATAAGCGTTAAAGTTTATAACATTCTCAGCTCCACGCTACCCCAGTTCGCCCGAACTCCTTCTCCGCTTGGCACATATCAACAGCGCAGGGCGGTAGATCCAGCACTGAAAGATATGCCGAGGACCCAGCCAAAGACAAGTGAAAGGTAAGCCAAGAGGGCATAAAGAGTCTCACATAAAACCAACTAATTAGGCAAAGCATCTAATTAGACGCACACCAAGGGGGCCAAAACGAGGGATATGCGTTGTGTCCTTTGTGCCGCCTCGTAAAAGCCAAAGCCAAAGCCAAAGCCAAAGCCTCCCAAATGACAACGTCGCTAAAAATTCTTATCGCCGGCACCCAAAATTAAGCCCCCAGTAAGCCACGAGTATATTGTGTGGCAAAGGTTAAAGATGGCACGGCGCCATGTTAAATGTGGGAAATTGTTTAATCCACTCGACGAGCCGCCTCAGCAATTACAATTAAAGCAGCCGGACAGGGTTCGTGGTCAGCTGCATGAAATTGGAAGCAGCGCCAACCGTGGTATGCCAGAAGGGGGGGGCTTTCTGGCTGCCGAGAAAAGAAAAGACAAAAAAACCTATTTGCATTTGATTTGCTTTGTAATTTGTTGCTCGATTGCGTTTTTTAGTGTGTAATGAGATGGGGATGCGCCGGCAATATCTACCTAACACTAGAACCCTACAAAAGGTCAAACTTGAGACAACTTATCCCACGCATGGCTGATAGCGCTTGCCATTAGAGCAGCCAAGGATAATGCTGCCTTGAAAATACATAAAAATTGTTTAATCTCTGTACAAAATAAGCGTCAACGATTGTAGCTACAGAAAGTTATTTGTGGATGTTCTTTCCATTCGTCACAACTCTTTTTGAACCACAAAAGTCTGAAGATTCGCGGCAATTTGTCATGCAATTATTGTTGCCAGAATTTATCTTTTACTTTGTTATCATGGCTGCTGGGAGTCTCATTTGTAAATTACCATTCTGGGGGCACGCACGAGTGCATCCGGAGAATATTTAGGCGGGCTGTGCCACTGCGACGTGCAAATTGATCAAAATAAATTGCATAAAATATTCCATTTACGTTCTGGCCCCACAAAATATGATTGTAAGCAGCTACTAATGCAATCAGAAATTGTTGCAACGCCCGAGGGCTCTGGGTCTAGGCTTCTTAGGCTTCCTAGCCCTGCAACATTTTTGCTGTGAGTTATGCCAGGAATTTCTGATAAGCTATCCCGTAGTCCGCATCAAGGATTGCTACCGGGCAAGTGCTTTATTTCTTGCTTTATTTCTACCATAAATTGCGCAGAATTATGTAGAGAAAAGCAGGCAACTAGGTTTTGGGATACTTTGTCACATTTGAATCACCTCGTGGCAGGATGCTGCCTGCTCTTAAAATAATTAGAGGCAATGAGGCAGTGTACAAACGATGCCACACACGCAGACTTCCGCCCAAGCCTGCCCCCGAGAGGAACTCTGTTTAATTTGCAATTGCAACAAAAGTGTTGATTATCTGGCCCACGTGCGTCAAGTTCGTCCCACGTGCACTTCACTATGCAAATACATCAGCCAGTCATTAAATTAATTAGAAAGAGAGCTCTTGTCGTCGAAATGAATGTGCCGAAAACTTTCCACAGCTTCCCAGCGCCAGCTCACAGCTCTCACTCCATTTTGTACATTTCCACATGGGCAACGAAGTTTTGTGGCAAGTAGAGGCTGCTGCACTGCAATTACCAGCAGCTATCTCTGGAGTGTTTGTCGGGCGGAAGTCTGTCATTAAAAATGAGTGCGTTATGTGTTCTTTTTGTTAGAAATTAAGAAGATGGACCAAATGCATTCGATATGCCAAAACTTAGCAGACTTATCAGATATTCATTGTAATTTCTGAGACAGCAAATAGTAATTATATTTCTCAATATACATTTCATTTGATGCATGAGCAACTTAGGTCTCGTTCCACTCGCTTTTCTAAGCAGATCTGGGGGCTAGAACAACCCTTAGTTCTTTCATAGTTTTCCACATATTACGCACGCGGCTATCCCTGAAAACTGTGGCCAGAGTTCAACAACCCTGCTCCAAAATCCAAGCCGCAAGGGGGGGCGCGACGGCATCGACCCCAAAGGAATGGTCCAGAAGCTACTTCCGTAAGCCCCTCAGTCCTGAGCCAGACATAGCCCGGGGGCAACCATTAACTAGGGCATAAGACTTACTAATAACAATGATATAGGACATTGCCCCAAATGAGTATATAATAAAGCTAATGGAAAATTATGGAGCCAGAGGGAGGCAGTGGCTGTTGCCACATTCGGAGTGACATCATAGATAAATAGATACATGCAGAAATATCAACTTAAGATGCTTTACAATTACTGGGGCTCTGTCATTATGATAACGTTGTGGTCTTCCATTTTCCGTTGCTCAATTTGAAATTGATTAAATTCCAACGCATCGAATTGATGGCCCAGCAATTTGGCATTCCGTGTGCAGTGTTCAAAATATTTATCACCTTCACATATTGCACAAAACTAAACCCTTTTCAGACACCTAATGGGCTATTAAGGTGTTGGCCGGAGTCGTGTTTGGCCTGCGATTTAAATGCAATTAAATGAAAGTGTCTGAATGGGCATACTTTATGGCCAGCACCCAAACAGTGGAAGGGGTTTGCTGGGGGCGACTGAAGTTCAATTAAAATGAATGAAATGGTCCCAAAAAATGTGCTCATAAAAATGATAAGCACATTAAGCGGACACCAATAAATGTCTTTTTCCCACTGACAATTTATTTATGAGCTCTAATAATTTTTAAAGCATTTAATTTCAGTTAAATTGAAATTGTTGCCGATCATCCACAGCACCTGCAACGCCAGCACCGGTCCGCCAGTTGCACGTGTTTTTAGCGGTCGTTCTTATTTATTTTTTTGAACCTACAGTCCGCACCGGAGCGAGCGGAAAATGTCAACTTTTTGCCAGCCAAAAATTGTCAAATGCACAGAATTTTATGCGCCATACATTTATGTTGATGCGGTTTAAAAAGTTTTTTAATTACATTTGCAGGAGACGCCCCCGAACACGAACACACAGCAACACAGCAATCCGAAAAACCAGAAACAGCAGCCAGGATACGAGTGTTTGTGCGAAATTCGGAATGTATTTTACTCTTTATTATTGCAGGTTTGGGCTGTGAAAATGTTTCCAAACTCATTTAATTTGAAACAAATTAGAAACGATAATACACAAAAGTGAGTTGTAGGTGGAATGGATGCGTTGGCTGTTTTCCAGGCGATAGATAAGTCTGCGGAGCTCTCCATTTTTGACACTGATGGAGTCTGATGGAGTGTGGACCACAATGGAAAATGTGTGTATATGTTAGCCCTCAAAGGTGCGAGTTGCATTTATCTTGGCTTGATTTCTGTCATTATTTAGTGGTATGTTTTGTTGGATATTTTAATTACATTTAAGTGGATTAGTCTGCTCGTTAGCAGCTTGCCCTTTTCTAGATATCATAATGCTCTCTTTACGAAATAATCATTAACCGATGACAGGCTGAAATGTGTTGCCCAAAAACTGACATTAACCCCATTAAAATTTGGGTTAAATTTGCCTATGCATTAGCATCCAATGCCACACAGCCCCCATGACCGATTCGGCTCCTTGTCACTCGCTTGTCAATTCATCCATCATTGGCCTACAAGAAGGAGAGTCCACCCCAGAGTGGGCTGTGGCAAGTCTTTGTCCCAGGAGGACTGCTGGATTGTGGCAAGTCTTTGCTCCCTCAGAGCTGCTGGCTAGTCTTTGCCTCCTCAGTGCTGCTGGACTGTGTGGCAAGGCTTATCTCTGAATCGCAGCAGAAACTAATTACTAAAGCGGCTCTCTGGCTGTGCAAGCAGTGGATGTGCACAGCCTACGTTTCCACTATCTCTAACCCTGAATCGAAATAATGTTTAGACTACACACAAAACGACAGAGAGAGAAAGAGAGAAAGAGAGAGTGTGAGAGAGCGGGTGCTCATCATTCATGTGGTTGTGCCTGTGGGGCCCAAGCAAACATGGCCTGGGCCGAGCAAAGTGAAAGGCAGCCCCCAAATGATATCAGTTCTCGGGGATCTTATGTGACCCAAATAAGCTTCGTAAGGACAAGAAATTTTAAAGCAAGGATGAGAGCAACTATTTATAAGCTGCCATCTCTTGTGCAAATGTTAAATAAATGAGTGATAGTTTTTTTTGTGTACCCGATCGTTCACACAAACCGAAAGTCATTGGGGTAAAGTGGTAATGGAATGAGAGAAAAGGGAACTCAACGACTAAACAAAATAAATGCTAATCAATGTGTGGCTCAAAGTCCAGTTTCTGATATCGTATAAAAGCCAGCTGGCCACGGAATCAAGTCGACAGTTCTAAGCAACTTCTCGATCAGCTTCATTATCATCATGAAAGTATTTATCATCTTGGCTGCCTTCGCCGCATTGGCCGCAGCTGTGGTAAGTCGAGAGCTCTCATATTATCTCTTAAATGACTCTAACTCTGCTTCAACTTTGACTCCTCGCAGGAGCTAACAGAAGAACAGAGGGCCGCGGTTAAGGAGCGGGCCAAGGCTTGCGCTCAGCAGGAGGGCGTCACCAAGGAGCAGGCCCAGGCACTGCGCTCCGGCAACTTCGCGGATGCCGATGACAAGGTCAAGTGCTTTGCCAATTGCTTCCTGGAGAAGTCTGGCTTCGTCGTCGATGGCCAGATCAAGCCCGATGTGGTGCTGGCCAAGCTGGGTCCCATTGCCGGCGAGGACAAGGTGAAGGTGGTTCAGGCCAAGTGTGACTCGCTCAAGGGAGCCAACAAGTGCGAAACTAGCTTTGAGCTGTACAAGTGCTACCACAACAATCAGGCTCAGATATAAGTCAAAAATCTCTTAACTCTTGCAATAAACATACGTATCTAATTACATAAACGAAATGTCTACTTACCAGTCGAATCGGTTAGGGTTTCTGTAGCTTTCTCTGTACTACAATGTGCATAGCGAGCGTATCGATTGATCGCAGTGTAGTGAACAGAATCCACTCAAGGGTAGCCGCAGTTGCACTGGTACTTTTCCTTAGGCCCACTGCAAGTTTGTTTATTAAAGCTCTTTAGCTCTGTTCGGCAACACGTTTTTAATTAATTTTCCATTGTACAATTTGCAGTGCGTTACCTCGCCATTACCCACACGACGTTATAGGGCTTCTGTACCTTTGAACAAATATCTATGGCTCCGTCTACAGCTCCATGTTACCGCAATTCAAAATGCAAACAAAGTCTCGTCTCATCCACAAACAATTTGACAAACAGCGCTGGAGCAGGAGCAGGAGCTGGTGCTGGAACTGTTCCATTCAGTAGCAACAAATACTAGACGTGTGTGTATCACAATTGTTTTGCGTATTTGTTTGCCAAGAACAATAAGCTGGCTGGCTGTGCATCCTGGTCGGTAGTGTGTGTCCGTGTGTGTGTGTGTCTGTCTAGTGGAGGGCTATTCTTGGGGGACAAAGTGTCTAATTGATTTTGGTATTTTGCTTTTTAATGAAGTGTCAAATGTGTTTCTTGTGATGGCATCAGAACGCAACTCTCAGGGGGCCACAGCAGAGAGTGCTCTTAATGTGCAGTAACAAACCCGATTTTGATGAAAAAAATATGCATTGTATGTAGCTAAGCATAATTTTCTACATTATCTATTAATACGTATCCCTGAATAACTAAAATAAGCCCTGGGATAACAGAGTGACAACGAAAACCCACCCTTAAACGGAAAAAGCCCTCTGAACACATCAGCGGCAGCGAGGCCCATTAGCTCAGTTGGTTAGAGCGTCGTGCTAATAACGCGAAGGTCGCGGGTTCGATCCCCTCATGGGCCAGAAATTAGTTTTTTTCTCCTCCTAATTTTTTTTAGCTGTTTGCTGATATTTAAACTCTTTTGGTATTACTCACCTTCCACTTTCTGGCCATAAACGAAATTGAAATTGCGGAGCTCCCAGCTTGGAGTTTGTTTGTGCTGGACCCACAAAACAGATTTGCCGCAATGTAATTGAGTATTTGTATTCAATTAAGACTTATTTCAATATTTGCATAAATGCTGCTGCGCCAGACAACACATACTGAGAGTCAGAGCCAAATCGAAAACAGTCGAGTGGGAGTGAAGTGCAGTGGAGAGTCCAGTCCTCAAGCGTGTATAAATCCCTCATATGCTCGGGCATAATTTGGTGAAACGAAACTTAAACAAACAACTGGAGAGGGAGAGAGAGTGTCGGAGCAGGAAGACTGCCAGAGACCAGTGGCCAAAGCTGTCCAGCTCTGGGTGTGGGAGGGTGTGCATGTGTGTGCCGACTGTCTGATTTTGACAGCCCGCATAAAGCGACCAAAGGACGCAGACGACAACGTGGGACCCCCTCGTGATGACACGATGACTAGGTAAACACTCGTTGAAAAGGACAGCTAAATGCATTACCCCATCCCTTGTACCCTACCAATTTGGCGACAAAAACTGCCACAAATATTAATTTTTATTATTCAAACATTGCATTAATTACACTATTTTTGCGTATGCACTACACGCCACCCGCTTCACGTGTGTCTGAGTGTGTGGCAAGCTCTTCTCTTGCATTCACAGCCACCGCAATCCCCGTCACTCTGATCAATCACTGGAAAATTGGATTTTCATATGTGCACCCGGGCTGCTGCCGTTCTGGTGTCTGTGCCTTGTGGTGCTGAAAATCAGACGGTGCCATTCGCTCTGCATGTTTGACAAGCACAAACAGAAACTTCATCAGAATCCATGGATTGGTCAATAATTTTTAAACACAAATCAAGTGTTAACTGGGGGCTTAATTGTAGGGCGGAGCGACATCCACAACAGGCAACAAAAAAAGAGTTAAAGTCGGGAAAATATGAAAATATTTCAGGATATTCGTTTGATCTTGGTTTTTTCCAGCAGCTGAATGGATAATTCAAATACGATTTCGATTGCTTGCTGTATAGTTTTATTTGTAAATAAAAATCGTATTATTTATCCAACTCTAACAAGCCTCTAACAAGCCTTTAATAGAATACATTTTTACCTGAAAATTCACTGCAATTAAATCATTCAGTTTGAAGTTTATCAAGGGAAGGAAGAACGCTTCAATCGGCTAATAGCATTTCCAGCAAAATCCAAAACAAGAAACCACAAATGTCCGTCCTCCCCCACGTGGGATTTTAACACTCGGCAGCTGCCGGCGAGTGACTGCGTCAAAACCCTATCCGGTCAGGAACCCTTTGCTGCCTGCCCCAAACCATTTGGCAATCAATAGAAACACGTCCGGCCATATGGAGAGCGGATGGAGTGGAGGCAAAGTGTCCAGTTTATTTTTTGCCTGGCACATTCATCGAATGGATGCTGGGCGCTGGGCTGACGGAAATTCGATTTATTTTCATCAATATTCAATGTCATTGCAACATCTTCGTGGGCCAAACCCAAAAGCGTACATCAGGCATGTCACACGAAAACCACCAGCCCAGCACCAACCAAAAGGAACCATCAGTGAGTGAGAGATCCCTGCCGTCGGGCTCCATGGAAATGGACTTTGTGGCTTGAAACTTTTTTGTGGGGTTTCGCTATTAAAATTTGATGCGCATGTTGTTGTCTCGTTGTCGCAGGTTCACGTGCCACAGGAGTGATCCCATGGACCCATGCAAACTCCTTCCCCATGTGGGAGGGTAGTCTGGCGCAATTGTGGCCATTCGTCGTCTATTCGGTTTTTGGTACACTTGATGCGCTCTCAGCGCACTCTGCGCTACCATTGCATATTTAAACAAATTTATTTGCAATTTAGTGTTTGCGGTTGGTGCACGCCAAAAGAGCCAGAGGGGTGGCGTGCCACCGTATGGTTCGTTGCACATTCGAAGCTCTCTTTTAAGTGGCGCGAAAATTAATTAAAATTTTTGAAATTGATTGACAAATATGTCATTTAGATTGGCAACTCGCTGGCGTGGCTGACCATACATTTTGTTTCATTTTTCACTTCAGTATTTCGTTGGCAGTTATGTTGGTTCCTAATTAGTAAATATTAGGCACCGGCCAGCATAACTACCAACTTTAAAGCCTTCTCTTTAGCTGTCCTAAAATCTAGCAGCTCCGGTGGCTGCCAGTCGCCACTCTCTTTGAAATGCAAACAGATTCGAGAAAAATCAACATGAGAAGGCACCGGTCGCTGGGCGCTTGGTCTCCCCAGTCATAGGTATCTGTGGCAAAGCCCGCGCGAGGAGCAAGTCCGCGAAGTCCGTGGCTGCATGCAACAGCGCGATAAGGGCGTCGCCATGGCTAAAAGTAAATACATAATCCACGTGAGTCGGCGAATGCGACGCGACACGCATTGTGTGCATGAGAGAGACTTAATGGGATGTAACTACCAGGAGATTTAAGATTTTTTACTGCACTGTTTTACCAGACAGTCTCTGAGATCTTTCCAGCGTTTTGTTTAAAAACATTTAGGGGGACTATATCCCAGGTTTGTGTTATTCTCTCCTGCCATTCGTAATATGCAAAAAAAAGAAAAACGTACGACAACCAACGCACATCATTTCACATAGCAGAGCAAGGTTTCGATCCTCGGACCTCTGGGTTATGGGCCCAGCACGCTTCCACTGCGCCACTCTGCTTGTTGAGGGACCGGCGCGAAAAAGGACCTCTTGTTTTTAAAAAATTCAGGGGAAACAACTCGAAAATTATTTAGAAAAATAATAAAGAAAACAAAAATAAACAAATAAAGAATATTTTTGGTCTAAGATAATCTGTTAAAATTGAAACTAGTAAACGTTGTTCAAAAATTATGTTTTGTTTGTCTTTTTTGCACCCTTATCTTCATGTAGCGCTTTTGGAAAATCCAAAATAACTAGCAGAGTGGCGCAGTGGAAGCGTGCTGGGCCCATAACCCAGAGGTCCGAGGATCGAAACCTTGCTCTGCTATTAAATGTGGTCGAAAGCCTGGTTCGACATTTTTTTTGTATGCATATCATGAGAGTCAAGGAATATGTACTGTACTCGTATTTCAAGCTCATCATATAATTTTCTATCCAAGGAATATAGTACAATCAAAATACCAAACATTCAGAGTTTAAGGAATTATTTTAGTTTGATATTTAGCTTGTTTTTACGTTAATATAAATGTGCAGACCTTAATTATGAGATTATGTGAGATTAAGGAAACTTACTAGGAAAACGTGGTTAGTTTTAGGTGGAAAATTACAAAAAATATATTCTTCCCATACCGGGAATCGAACCCGGGCCTTCTGGGTGAAAGCCAGATATCCTAGCCACTAGACCATATGGGATATAATAAATACGGTTCAAAATCCCACTTTGGTGGAAGTCTGTGCAATTTGTTAATTTTTATCATATGTGACAAATCACTAACTCAAATAAATCTGTCGGAAGTTGATATTAAATTTTCCTAATAATGCATCTTCGACGAAAAAAATTGTAAGATTTATAAGATAGTCGTTTTTATGAAAAATTAGATTTTGTTACCTGCTTGAGATTTCACGTACTCACATTGCAGACTTGGCAAAATGCGATGCAAGTCCCATATTGTCTAGTGGTTAGGATATCCGGCTCTCACCCGGAAGGCCCGGGTTCAATTCCCGGTATGGGAAAAGCTTAATGCTAATTTCTGTGTTTTTTTGATACGTTTGTATTTTTTAAGGAAATATAATTATTTTATTTAATTATCTCGTGGATCAAGTAGTGCTTTGCTTTTTATGTGTGAACAATTCCAGCGCAACGCAAGGGGATGCAAATGCTCTTTTGGAAACAAATCCAAAATATAAACCCATTAAACAATCACTGGAAGCGCCGTACTTTGTTCAGCATAGTGATGGTAGATGCCACCAAGAGCCGGGAGGGAGCCGAGCCAGTCACTAGCACATCAATTTCAAGCTTCCTGC